CTTTTTCTCAGAGGCAGCTTGCAGGACCATCTAATGTGGAGGCTTTCAGTTCAGCTTCTCACTTATAGGACCCAAGTTCCTTATTTCTAATCCCAACGTGAAAGTTAAAACTCAAGTCCTTAAGTCACGGCCTCAGTGTCACTTCACAGACTCGCTGTCTTGGTGTTCAGATCCTTCTTCATTTATTGGCCTCAGGGTTTTTCTTGATCTTTGGGTAAGTGCAACTATGCATTTATAAGGAGTCTATCAGGATGTGGGGAACACTGGACAGCTACAAGCAAAAAAATAAAACTGGACTACTTTCCCAAACCATACACAAAAACTCAAAATGGATTAAAGACTTAAGTGTAAGACCTGAGACCGTAAAACTCCCAGGAGAAAACATAGGCAGTATGTTCTTTTATATAAGTCTGAGCAATATTTTTTTGGATCTGTCTCCTCACGCAAGGGAAACAAAAGTGAAAATAAACAAATGGGACTACATCAAACTATAAAACTTTTGTACAGGGAAGGAAACTATCAACAAAATGAAAAGGCCACCTACTGAATAGGAGAAGATATGTGCAAACAAGATATTTGATAAAGGGTCAATATTCAAAATATTCAAAGAACTCACATAACTCAACATTAAAAAAAAAAGATTTAACAATGGGCAAAGGACCAGAATACACATTTGGTCTCCAAAGACACACAGATGACCAACAGGCACTTAAAAAGATGCTCACCATCACTAACCATCAGAGAAACACACAAAAAACCACAGTGAGATATCATCTCACACCTGTCAGAATGGCTATCATCAAAAAGACAATGAATAACAAGTGTTGATGAGGAAGCAAAGAAAAGGGAACCCTTGTACACTGTTGGTGGGAATGTACATTGGTGCCACAATGGAAAACAGTATAGAGAGTCCTCAAAAAAAAAAAAAATAAAAATAGAACTACCATATGATCTAGCATTTTTACTTCTGGGTATCTATACCCCAAAAATAAAAACACTAATTTGAAAAGATATATGCACCCCTATGTTCACTGCCCAACATTATTTATAATAGCCAATATATGGAAAGAACCTAAATATCCATCCATATATGAATGGATAAAGAAGATGTGGTATTACATATACAATGGAATGTTAATCTTAATAAAATAAATGGAACTTTGCCACTACAACAGAATGGATGGATCTAGAGGGTATTGCACTATCAGAAATGAGTCAGAGAAAGACAAACACTGTATGATCTCACTTTTATGTGCAATCTAAAAAACAAAACAAAGGCACAAGAAAATAAAATGAAGACAGTCACAGATACAGAGAAACAACAGGTGTTTGTCAGAAGGGAGGGAGGTGATGGGGGTGAAATAGATGAAGGAGACTGAGAGGTACAAGCTTCCAGTTATAAAATAAATAAGCCACAAGTATGTAATATAAAGCATAAGGAATATGGTCAATAATACTGTAATAACTCTGTATGGGGACAGGTGTTACTAGACTTATCATGGTGATTATTTCATAATGTATGCAAATGCCAAATCACTTATGCAGTACATCTGAAACTGACATAATATTACCCGCCAGCTATATTTCAATCAGTCAGTGTTAATCACATATAAAAAATAAAAATAAACAAATAATATGAAAGGAGAGGGGGAAAAGTCTAAGGCTGTACTGTATTTTTAAGCATCTCTAAATGTCTTTTAGGAGGAGAGGCTTCAGGTAGCTAGTCGGACGCCTTGTAAAAAGGAAGTTGTTTATAAAATGTCTAGATGTAAAACTCTGCCCAGGCTGAGAGCCTTCTCCGCAGCAGAACCCTCACCTACAACCTCACACATTAATGGAAGATGAATTTAGTTTCATCTTGGCAACTTAAAGAAAAACGAGGTTACGACAGCAGCACTTTGGTGGCGAGAGACATGGAGCGGTGGAATAGAATCAAAGATGAGAGGAAAAGGGATTGTCTGAATCTGGGTCCCTTAAGCCCATCTCTAATTCTCTTCTTACCCCCTTCATCCCATTGCCTCTCAGCTTAGCTCCCCACAGGCAGCTGAAGCCATGAGTGAGTATATACCTCAAGAAATTAATTGCAAAGAGAACTCTAGGAGCAGGCGACTTGACTATCAAGTAAGCTGTGGCTAAAACTATTGAGGTTCTGATCAGATAAATCTAGGGATTTTGTTCCTGGTAACAAGGGATCAAGGCACTCTGGTTCAGCCTAGATTTATAATCAATTCTAAAATTGGGGCGCGGGGTGGAGGAAAAAAGCAAATCATTCTAGGGAAACATCTTTTTTTCCTGTCTTAAATCCTAAATTCACTCTTTGTAGGCCTAACAGATTCTGTTCTAGAAAGGAGTTCTAAACTACATCAACAAAAGCTTAGCCATCATAGAAAATCCTTGAAGTCCTCTTTGGAACGGTTCTAGACCAATATTCCTAGAAAGATCTACAGATCAGTACACATAAGAATCCTCAATGCAAATCAGATACAGGGTAAAGAATCCTGAATTCCTCTCTATCACCACCAATCCTCTGATAGAAAATCTGTCAATCATGATATCTGTGAGCCTGCTATCCTTTCTGCACCCTCTGGCTCCATCATTCCCTGCCTTAAACAGGAGAAGCAATGCCTCAGATAACATGGAACGTCTACCTCAAAGGCACAGTGGTATCCACCTGCTCTGAGAACTGATTTTCCTCAAGGTTTGCAGTCCTACATTAAAGTGCTCACTAGTTCAAATGACATGTGTCAAAATAATTAATAATACATCTTGTATAAATGGAGATTTAATTTTTTAATCTGCAGAACTAAACCATTTTTCCTTTGGTTGGATTTCTTTTTCAGTGGTACCATTAAAAATGTCCTCTCAAGAAAAGATCCTTTTCAACAAAGATGCAGCCTATTGGTGAAGAGTTCAAGAATTACAGAAGAATATGAAATACTATATTTAGTCTGAGAATAAAAGACAATCACCTTCCATTTTACTTAAGATACACATAAAAATTCTAAACTATTCTCTTCCTGCACATACCTACTACTTCTTTCAATTTTCAAATTCAGTTTGAATGATAAAAGTACAAAGAAAGGTTCCATATGGCGTTGGAACAACAGGATCAACCATCCCTCAACTGTGTGCTAACCTTCGGGCAGGCTGTATTACTAGAATTCACTAGTTAATGGCTCAACACCTTATCTATTATTGCTTGAGTGATGAAACCTCTCTGGTCCTCAGTTTCTTGATCTGTAAAATGGAGATAATATCTATTTTAGAGGGGTCTTGTGAGGTCTGAAACAATTCAGGTCTGTTACTGAGTGGTCGATTCTTGCTAGTTCTCACTAAAATTAGCTTTATTATTAGCTATCGAGTGCTTTACAATGTGCCAGGGAATCTGCATTGCTGCATTTATTACTTTTAAATCTGCTTCCTTCTTCAGAATAAGCACTTCTGCTTATCACAGACCTCATTTAGTTCCATTTAAAAAAAAAAAAGTAGAATCAAATGAAAAGTCAACTTCTAAGCAAAGGATATATTTTATATACAAATGGTATTTAAAATTTTATTTCTAGTAACAGCTTAGAAAAAGTAAGTTTTACATGGATCCCCTCCACTTCTGGTCCCAGGGGTGAGAATGTACAATTCTCCTGAGACTTTTTTTTTTTAAACTTATTTTGTAGTGGGGTATATAACCAATTAACTAACAGTACTGTGATAGTTTCAGAACAGTGAAGGGACTCAGCCATACATATACATGTACCCATTCAGAGACTTTCAACTGGGTTAGGTAATTCCAAGAACAGCATTACCCGTTTCATTACACAGGTACTGTTCTAAGGCTGAGGCTTATTCTGACTAGCCATGGGTTAGAATCTGCAATTCCACTATTTAAAAATAGACCCAGTATGAATGGCATCATTTGAAGCCCAAGAAATAACTAACAGATGATGGGTTTTAATAGCTTCCTAAAGCCTGAATGCTTGATCTATTAAACAATCACATTCTTGAATTTACCACTTGTGAGTATGGACTAAAGTATAAATCTTGTGAAATACCTGCTTTTCTTTGACTATTCATCTCCTTTAATGTTGCGGGGAGAAACTAATAAAGTTTTAATTGAGCTATCCCTCTCAGCATTGAACAGTGGTGACTAAAATCTATACATAATATCAAAACAATTGCACTATAGAACTGGTGGACAGAAGTGTGTTTACTACATTTAGAAGAAAAGGGTATTAGCTGGCTTTCCAATCTATTGGGGAGAATAGATCAAAACTTTCCTTAGGAACTGTTTCAGTGCACAACAAATATCTAAGGTGGTTACTTATTGTCACTAATCTAATCCTTAACGCTGTAAATTAAGCCATTCTCCTTGTATTGTGCCCTTAAAACTTAAAAAGAGCAAACCAATAACTGGAGAAGTTAAAAAAAATCTACAATCTACTTGTTAGCACATCTTCATGCCATGGTGATTTGATTAGTGATTTGATAAGTATAGATTACAACCCTGGACTTAATACACGGTGGCCCACTTTTAAAATGGCCCATTTATAACAAAGGTCTCTCTGTTGGAACTGCCAGAGAGTTAAAAAAAAAAAAACCAAACATGTCACCAGTATAAAAAACTTTTTTTAGCCATGCATTGTGGAGCAGTGAAATTGTAAACGTGGAGACCTTCATTTCAGCACAGTTCTACTGATTGTGTGACTATAAACAAGTCAAGATTTCCTGATTCTCATATTCTGTCACTATAGTAAGATTACTGCCTGCTCTCAAACCACCCCAAGAGAAGATCTAAAGAATAAGGAACACAATGTAAGTATTATAAAATGCTATAAGCTTCTTGGAGAAAAGACTCTACATGTCTTACATAAGAAAAATTCATAAATATCTTTTAAGATAGAATATTTGTAATGAAGATTCAGGCTACCACAAACTAAAAAATTACTGACTTCTTACAAGTTTCAAGTATAACACTCACCACAGGAGAAAGGGGAAAGATAACCTACCCCATTGTCCCATCCATTAGAAGGATCGTGTTGTATATGTGAGAAAAGATGAAGAGAAAGAGAATTGTGCTGAAGAACATTGTCATCCATGATCCATGATCCTCACGAAACATTTTTAACCGGAGCAACTGACCTGCAATATAATTATTATTGGACATCAGTGTACATTGCAACTCAAAATACTACAGCATTGTTTTGTTTTAGTTAATTTCTTTTATCTCACTAATATTCTGAAGTCTTAGACCCTAGCACTTGTCTTACAGAGAAACTACTACCTAAGGTCCTTATTGCTCTTTTGTAAATAGATGATGAAGTCGAAGACAATCTCCACCTCATCATCCTAGAGCAAATACTAGCATGAAAATCTAGTGTACAGAGAGTACTCGTTATGCTGGCATGAAAATAAGAATAATTAGAACACTTACCTTATATTTTTTTATTTAATAAATATGTTTTTGGTTCATTTACTGAAACTACTTAAGTAAGGAAAATGGTAAACATGTTGCATAAATTCTTAATTCCCTTTTGCTCCCACAGGCCCATTCCCAGTACTGGTCAAATGATAGGCAAATTTCACTTATATTAAAGTACACGAAAATGTGAACAGTAAAAATGAAGTCTCTATCATAAGAGTCAGAAGGCTTACTAGCCTTACTTGTAGCTAAAATATCCATTCCACATACAGGCTGGTGCACAAGTGTGTGGGGTCTGGCAGCAGGTACATGTGTTATGGAGTCAGTGTGGTTCCCAGCAAAACATGATTTCTAATCATGCCTAATATCCATTTACAAAGATAATTACTAAAAATGGAGAGAACAGTCATTAATCTATGGCGAAGGAGGCCAGAACACACAATGGAGAAAAGACAGTCTCTTCAATAAGTGGTGCTTGGGAAACTGGACAGTGACACGTAAGAGAATGAAATCAGAACACTCCCTAACACCATACACAAAAATAAACTCAAAACGGATTAAAGATCAATATGTAGAGCTGGAAACCATAAAACTCCTGAAGGAAAGCACAAGCAGAATACTGTCTCACTAAAATTGTAGCAATTTTGGATCTGTCTCTTAAACTGAAGGAAATAAAAGCAAAAATAAAAAATGGGACCTAATTAAAGTTAAAAGCTTTTGCACAGAGAAAAGGTGGGATTGGTGCAGTCACTATGTTGTGTCCGACTCTTGTGACCCCATAGCCTGTTAGGCTCCTCTGTCCCTGGGATTCCCCAGGCAAGAATACTGGAATGGGTTGCTGTTTCCTTCTTCAGGGAATCTTCCAGACCCAGGGGTCGAATCCAGATTTCCTGCATTACAGGTGGAATCTTAACTGACTGAGCCAAAGGTAATCATCAACATAACAAAATGACAACTTGGGAGAAAACATTTGCAAATGATATGACTGACAATGAGCTAACATCCAAAATACATAAATAGGTCAAACAAGTGGACATCAAATAAATAAATGAATAAATAAATAAATAAATAAATAACCTGATTGAAAAACAGGCAGAAGACCTGAATAGATATTTTTCCAAAGAAGACATGCAGATAGCCAACAGAAACATGAAAAAATGCTCAGTATCACTTATCATCAGGGAAATGCAAGTCAAAACTAAAATGCGATATCATCTCACATCTATCACAATGGCTATTATTAAAAAGAACACAAATAACAAATGCTGGCAGGGATGTGGAGAAAAGGGAAGAGAAGCCCTTTACACTACAGGTGGGAAGGTACACTGGTACAGCCACTATGGAAAACAGTATGGAGGTTTCTCAAAAAACTAAAAATAGCACTACCATTTGACTCAGCAATTCCACTCCGGGGTATGTAACCAAATGAGCCAAAAAACACTACTTCAAAGACATACATGGATCCCAATGTTCATGGTAACATTATTTGCAATTGTTAAGATATGGAAACAACGTAAGTGTCCATCAACATATGAATACACACACACACATACATAAGGAATAAGGCCGTAATGGAGAATGAAATTTTGCTATTTGCAATAACATTTATGAACTTGGAGGGTATTATGCTAACTAAAAGTCAGACCAAAAGATAAATACTGTATGATATCAGTTATATGTAGAGCCTAAAAAATAAAACAATCTAGTAAATAACAATGAAAAAAGCAGACCCACAGATAGAGAGAACCAACTAGTAGTTACCAGTGAGGGGAAGGAAAGGGGAGGGGCAATATAGGGATTAAGAGGTACAAACTATTATGTATAAAATAAGCTACAGGATACACTGTACAACACAAGGAATATGCCCAATATTTTATAACATCTATAAGTGGAGTATAACCTTTAAACACTGTGAAACACTACATTTTATACCTATAACATATAATACTCTGCATGAACTACACTTGAATAAAAAAAGAAAAAATGTTAAAATGCAAATACTTCAAGGAGGAACATGTAGTAAGATGAATACTAAAGTAAAAACTACTGGTATCACAAATAGGCCAGATAAATATTTTGATTTATGATAAAGAGAACTGAGAGCACTAGTATCCTGAAAGGTGAGGAAGATTTAAAAAAGAAAAGACAAGATTAAGAAAAAATAAACATAGGCCATCCTGGTTTCTCCTAAGAGAAAGTTTATCCAAATAATGAGACAGGAGATGATGCACATATAGGAACTACAATTAACATAGGGTAGGTCTGAAATCTTACATTAAAATTTTTCATGAGAGAAAATATTTCTTTTTGATGCTATGTCAAAGCTATGGGGAAAATATATATATTTCCATCTGGAAAATATCTCTCTAGGGACAGACAGTAACTCTCACATAGGTTTCTGAGCATAGGAAAAAATCATCTTTTAAGATTTAATCAATTTTCCCTCAATCCCTTTCTTTTATTAAAAGAGCACTTTAGATTTCATTTGGAAACCAGGCTAACAGAAACATTACCCCAGCTAAAACTTTAAATGGAGCAAATATGGGAGATTTGGTTACCTCATCTGGTTTCTTGGCCTGTACAAGAGAAGGAAAGGACAAATCTGAAGGTCAGAGGGAAAGTGAATTATAACTGAGAGAAGAATGTGGAAAATGTTCTACTGAAGCAAAGGATGCTGATGCTGCAAATTACAGCCTTACACAACTTGTGATAATTGAATCAATAATTATAGAAATCCAGGGAATTGCAAGTCTCCACACAACACCTTGTCAGGAATATTATAAATAAATATTAAACAGAGAATGCTTGAGAGTGAAAAATCCATGCCACAAATATCTTAAAGCAAGCTGCAGAGAATATCATTCATTCTTTGAACAAATATTGAATGTGTGTTTCTTACACGCCAGCTGTGGATCAAGGGGCTAGAGGTAGAGCTGTGAGCAAGTCAGGAAGATGTTCAAAGCCAGCCATCACTTGAGCAGTTAATGAAAACGTAATCTTATCTTAGACTGATGGACTCAGTGTTCCCTTTGCTGCAAGTCTTTCAGGCTTGATCTATTTATTTAATTCAGCAGTTGATATGTTGAAGAACTGCTAAGACCAGAAATTAGAGTTCTTTGAAATTAAAATGTGAATTTCTTTCTTAACATATGCATATGTCAAAAATTTCACTAATGGATATACTTTAAAAGTCAAAGACTCAAGAGTGCTTTGCAAATAAAATACAGTGGGTTAACTGTACATGGCGACTGAAATAATAAAGAGTTAGTAAAACGAGAGATGTGACAGGATCATTTATGCTGTCATTGCCGAACTCACTGCCTGGCACTAATTTCAGTCATTACAGCCATTATAACAAAATGGCAGGTTAACACGACTTGAAATTCACTTGAAACACACAATAAAAGAGCTTCAATATATTAAGGGCAGAACCAGAGTGACCCAAATGTTGAGTCAAATCATATTTAAAAAAAAAATTTCCCATAACCTACTTCAAGGTTAATTCATTGAGTGACCATCCTAATGCTAGAAATATGTATACACAGACTGTCATCAGTTGACTGCCCATCAATTTAATCAAAACAGGAACCTCAGAGTTACCGAAGGATGTCACATGAAAGTGACCCATCTCCACCCTGTGGTGTGACCACACATCTGGTTTCCCTGGGACAGCAGTGGCTTGTGACTCTTGTCCCGGCATAATTATTAAGAGCGTCCCCTTCCTTTCTGAAGTGTATCGGTTTGGACAGTAAGTTATATGCCACCTTTCATATAGGTAAAAGAATTCAGAACTTTTTAACACTCTTCTTTAGAGGAGATTCAGGAGATACCTGAGTGAAAAGTCAACTGAAATAAAAGACATCACTAAGAGAGATACATCACTGACAAGGTGATAAATGACTTTTAATCATATGTATATTTGTAAATCTTGCTGTATGTTTATGTTACTAATAAAATGTGTCTTGGACTGTATGGGCTATCACCTTTGATATGGTCAAGGTAATTGGAAAACAAATCTTAAAACGATTGGCAGCATTAAAGTGGTCACAAGCCTATGCGTTAGAAAAGAGGGTTGGAGGGTACAATGATTAATTGTCACAAATGTTTTAAAGTACCGAAATAGCCTAGAATCTCAGAATCTTTCCTGGAGATACAGTAGGTTTAGAACTACTAAGAATCATAAGATTCTAACAAGGATAATGACCTAAAAGCTAATTTTAAAATATATGATGAGCTCACATGAATTGTGGAAGATGGAAGTAGATAGGTGTAAGAGAATTAGGGAGAAACTACTTTGTTTCTTGGCTTTTCTTTTTTGCTGCTGTATTCTCATCAGCAAAAGAATTAAAAAGAACATTTGTTCTTTACCGCACAGCCAGATTTTTATGCTAAGTTCTGGGTCCCATTTCTTTAGAAGCAGTTTTCAGCAGGAGACCTTGAACAAAGAAATAAACTAAACAACCTCAGAGGAGAAGGCCTAGAAGCATTTGTGCTTCCAGTTAAGAGATGGGGGTAACTCCTGGGAAGTTGTTGAAGCAAGGTTGAGTAGAGGGTTTCTAGATTCAGAGAGGATACAAAGATTCTGGTCCCCAAGGTGGCAGAACCTCACTTGGGTTTGAGTCCATGGTTGCTGGTAAAGGCCAAAGTATCAAGGGTCATGGCCTTGGGATTTAAGTAAAGAGACCGAGCTGGCCTCAAGGGAAGAGGAATCAGTAGAGCA